TATCAATACAGTATCGGGAAATGAAATATCGCGATATTTCAGTATCGATATTTTCTTACACCCCTAAACAAAACTAAACGATTTAGTTAGACTGTCATCTTTCACACATTTCTACATGCAGAGATCAGTTTCAGTCAGATGTTTACATCCAGGAGTTTTGGTTCGAGACAAACAGAAGTCATCATGGTCTCTGTTGTCMTTAACTTCAGCTGTAATGTTTGTGATTCTGATCCAGACAACTTGATGTCAGGAGCTAATGTTAGCACTGACCGTCAACTGGATGTAAGCCAGGAGGGACACACAACATGGCAACACACAGCTTCATCGCACACAACACCCATGGGGGYAAATCCGTCTCATGACTTATGAATCGATTTACCTGAATTTYAACAAGAATCGATCCAGATCGATTAAATCGATTTGTTTTAACCCAGCCCTTTGTGAAATCCATCATCAGTTTCCTCCTTCCAAATCTGAACACGATGTTTGCCTCAGACATCTCAGGTGTGGTTTACCTGAGACCTCCTGTCACATGACTTCCTGTGAAACAAACACCTGTACACTGTTCCTGATGATGATGATGATGATGATGATGGTTGGGAAACATGGCCTCAGGTCTTCTGTCTCCGATCTGATTTTTCTTCTTCCTGTCTGTGTCTCTGCACACCTGTCCACCTGTCTGTCTGTCAACCATCCTGTTTGTAGGAGCTCGGAGAAAATGATTACGATTCTGGGTTCAGAGTGAGTATGAGAGCTGCACACCTTCATTAAGCTCCGCCCTGCAGCAGGCTTCACACCTGAAACTCACCTGATTCACCTGACAGAAGCTGTTTCACTCTGATGTGTTTGTGTGCTGTGGCTTCTCCAGTACGAGTGGAGTAAAGTACAGGGGGTTAAAGTACGGGGGGTTAAAGTACGGGGGGTTAAAGTACTGAGGTTTATAATACGGGGGGTTAAAGTACTGAGGGTTAAAGTACTGAGGTTTATAATACGGGGGGTTAAAGTACTGAGGGTTAAAGTACTGAGGGTTAAAGTACTGAGGGTTTAAGTACTGAGGGTTTAAGTACTGAGGGTTTAAGTACTGAGGGTTTAAGTACTGAGGGTTTAAGTACTGAGGGTTTAAGTACTGAGGGTTTAAGTACTGAGGGTTTAAGTACTGAGGGTTTAAGTACTGAGGGTTTAAGTACTGAGGGTTTAAGTACTGAGGGTTTAAGTACTGAGGGTTTAAGT